GGAAAATGACTGCTTCAAAAGATATGATGTTTTCACTTTTTCGCTTCAACTGGTGACACAGGGTTGGCGATGCGCCAAACGCTTACCGCCTGACACGCCCATCATCCGCAGCGAACCGCACTATAGTTTGTAACCCATTACAAAACGTGTAATAGAAAATATCACTAGTTATCGGTACTTTACCCCTCGCTATTCTTCCTCTGACATGTTTGGTGTTCGAATAGCTAAGGGGAACACATTTATTCATGAGATAGCCATTGCTGACATGCAATTCTTCCTTGTACGGCACGTGGTTTTCCTGTCTGATACTCGTGAATGGCATTTACAAGAATTGGACCATTATGCCGTTCGATTTCGTCTTGCGCTCTCTGTTCTTCTTTGTTATTTTTTGTTGATATTGACGTGTTCTCTTTTAGCATTTCATCCTCTTCTTAGCCTCGTTGTAATGCCACAACTACGAGGGATGTCTCATAGTGGTCCGGTCGACGAGCCGTCTACCAGCAAAGAGGTAAGATAAAATACTTGTGTTTTCTAATATTTGAGGTTTTTACAGATGTTTCACAGTGCATGTGTTTGCAATTTCTGGGGGATTCTGCTACGAGCGCAGGGTTCTGGAAGACGGGAGTTTGTTGTGCACCTTTCGAATTTTTTAGATGTTTTGAGCTGTAGCAGATAAATAGGCTCCCGTCCTAAACGTACAGGCATAATCTGCGGTAGTTTGGTGGTTGCTCAAAATAGTAGTAGATAAATAGTACCATATAGTGGGGAAAATGACTAAGAATCCAAGTTAAACGGCCAAAATGGCGGTTGGCGTTTGGGTAGGCCTAGTGCACCTTGGCTTCTTCATCCACATTGCGAGCAGTCCCTTATAACTTTTTTTTCTTGACCATTTTTGAGAACCTAATGGGGCAAGTCTCGGGAAAAGCAGGGTGGAAATCAAAAGCGAAACTTTTTACCAAGTGGGTTTTCGTCGGTGTGGAGAAAAAATAATATAGTAAATCCTGTGATTCGTGAACACTATTAAGTCCCCTTATCAGTTTAATTGTTGAAGAAATGGTTATGAGAAACGTTGAAAAGCAATTTCAGAGTCGAGAGGACAGAACCGCGCGAGGAGATGAGGTTTATATTCAATATGTTATAAGATTGTTACGGGCTAGAAGATTATGCAGGGATTCTATGTAAGACCGTCTATTCTTACTTCTTTCCATGCTCCGTCTGTTTCATGTCGGCTGCTTATCACTTCTCTATACGTTAATTTGTTCAGTTAGCAAATATTTCAGAGAGAAGCGGCACAAGATGGGACCCGCTGTAAGTAGTAGCTAACTGAAAAAATTTATCTGAAGCGGTTAGCTTGGTGGCAGACATAGAAGACAAGTGAGTTGTGACCTTCCATGGAATTTGTCTTGTTATTCTTGCTTTTCTGTTGCTAATTCTGGAAATTTATTTTTTTTTGTTTTTTTTTTGCTACTTTAAAGTACTAAAACTACAGTGAATATCAGAAACAATTTCAATAGCGAAGATATGAATTCAAAATCGCAGTCAAGTGGACTCTTTCACGTCGACGCGTACGCCCGGACCCACGCTCCCACCGTGCGTTTAGTTCTAGTAATAACGGCACAAGTTTGCTGCCAAAATCATGGGTAGTCTTTGTACACATATATGACCTCCTAATTACACAAAAAGAGTTGCTGCACAGTTCCTCTCAGCTTTTAGAGCCTTTGAAACTTTCGCTGACAAACACAGAGTACTATTTCTCTCAGTCGTGCCGTTCTCGTCTTGGCTGACCCTCCTCCAGAGAAACACCTAAGGAGTAGCTGGATTAACGATTAAATCGCCACGATGCATTCAAAAACATATGTGCTCTTACATTACACCTATTAACTGCAGTGGAATACCCTGCACTATATTTCACCTGGGGTGGTCCACAATAATATGAGCAAGGAGCCCTACACACTATCCCGATGCACGATCGTGGTCACCCCCATGACTACACGCAAATACACTTTTATCCAAACTTCAAAGGACGATAGCCTACTAGTCGCTAGGAAGGGCCCGGGAATTAACATGCGGCAGGTAGTAAAAGAAACTAGCCAGAGGCGAAAGAGAATCCTTTTCGCGGTAGCCGCATGAACGTCGCGCCTCGCCTTACCCTGACATATCGCATCCCCGAGCCTCTTTACCACGATCGTCTTTAATATGGATTGACTCCGAGAGGTGACATATAATTGCAATTGCGCTTTTTGACGGGCCCCCCTTTCACCACCAAAACCTGGATCAGCAACAATGAGACAAGCGGAAGTCGTTTCGAAAATTTTCCCCCAGTGACAAAAAAGACTCTTTGTGACTGACAGACTTTTGGGACCGTACATTCTCTGTCTGAATTCCAAATGCTACCCTATAAAAGCGCTGTTTCAGCAGGCTAAAAAGTTGTTCCAGCAGGAGATACTTCAAAATAGTAATAATTTCAGATCAGCCTCAAGCATCTCCATCAGGAAGGCTTTCTCCAATAGAGGTGAAAGTAGATGATGAGGTTTGTGTGTACAACTTATCTTTACAAAGTATGTTGAGTACTGGTAGCGTAATGGTTTTTTTTATTTAATGCTTAGACTTTGACAAAAAGCTATGCAATATCTTGTAATCTTATAATCTTATACCCGCTCTAATCTACATGTCCGCAATTCTGATTCTGGTTGCAATTCTGTTTCCAAAATCTTCAAATCGGCGGGGCGGGGGGTGGTGAATGGTCATCGCTCTGCGCCTTGTAGCACCGAAATAACGTCCTCTATGCTGGGCTCTTCAAGGGGCCGTGTTCGGCGCGGTGCTGGCAGGTTCCCCACCACTTGATGGAATGGGGTAAGCGACAACAAACGGAAGAGAACGTTTGACACCGCGCCAAATCCAGCCCACTCAGACGTCCCGGTATTGACAGCCAGCAAGACATTATGTCACAGGTGAAAGGCAGCGAACAAAGTGGGGTGTTTTAGTGGTTTTACGGAAGCGTTCTTTCTGAAAAGTCAATGCCGCAAATAATGTTAAACTTCTTACTGGAACGCTTCGCTGTAGCGACTGCAATGGAAGCACAGTTTATTTGCTTCGGTCATAAAACACCAGCTGAAAATAGTTAAGTTCAGGTTGGATTGTTCAAGAGCAGTCCGTTTTAAGGTAGGTTTGGAAGAAATGGCATTGAGGTTGATCTCCTCGTAAAATCAGGAAGACGTTTTAAGCGAAACAAATAGTGTTTCATCATTTTTTCACACATAATTCTTTCAGAAGGCCTTTTACAGCAGTTCTATTTAATTTTTTTAATCTTCATGTGAAACTTCTGTTAAGTCGATTCAACTGATAGTTTCAATATTTCAGTCGCCAGCTCCATCGGCTCCTACAAACTCCCTGTTATCTGTGAATCGACCCGATTTTTGCGGTGACTTTTCTATGCAACAGGTTAATTCATTTGACTAGATTCGTCTTTTACTGTTCTACAGCCTAAAGTAGCATAGTTACCTTGACTGAGAACTGGTCTATCGAATGCAGTTTTGTTTTCCTGCCTGCTAAGTATCAGATTTTAGCTGCGTAGACAGCTGGAGGTTTCCTGCGGGCCTAAACTAGCACAAACCTCAGGCCTTAGTGAAAAACTTCTATTGACTGGACAAGTCCAGGGGTGTGTATCAGGACTCACCGCCGCGCCCGAAACTAGGTCGCCGCGCTGGGAAGTGGGTCACCGCGCGCGGCGATTACATGCTTTAACATGTTTGCATGTTTGAACATGTCTACCTGTTTGGACATGTTCTTGGCAGATGGAAGATGAGGAAAAGAGAGAACGCTAGAGCAAACTGCGATAGGGTCATATTGATCGGAAGTTGGCAAAATGCCCTCAAGTCCAGCCGTTGATTCCGCCGGGGAATTTTTTTGCAAGATACGCCCCCTCCTCAGAATTTCAGGTGCAACTCCCATTCCCCTTCTTCTCATCCTACTCACTATTTTCTTGAATTCTCCTGAACGAGCGCCGTACA